GAGCAGGAGGCATTTCTGGTGGCTTTCTCGGTTAGACAAGGGACAGGCCTTCTCCCAGTTTAACCCCTCATGACCTTTGAACTTCCTGGGAGGTCAGCAGCACGTCCCCCTTCCCCAGCTGTCTCTCTGTCTCTGGCCTGATGGGAGGGAGGACCCTGGGCCCGTTCCATTTTGCGCCCGTATTGATCTGTTGGCAGCAATGGGCTGGATAATTAGCCAGGAATTAGGGTTTCTATTACAGCCAGGAGGCTGCTCCAGCTGATTTATCACCTGAATAATTTACTGTGATTGAAAGGAAATTAAAATGAACTCCATTTGACAACTGTGAGCTTTTATGGGCTTTAGTGAAGGCTCAAAAGCCAGATTAATAGCCTGGTGTTGGTTAATAGTCTGCCGAGAGTAAATACGGCAGGCTGTGCTCGGCAGCGGTCTTCCTGCCACGGCCGGAGGAGGGACCAGCTTCCTGCCAGCAGCGCCCTCACCGACGACAACGACAGAGTCAATAAGAGTTTTACTGAAACAGATTCCACGTCCAACACACACACACACACACACACACAACCCCTACCAGCAGTTGTTTCTTTTTTTTTCTCTTTTCCTCCTCCAAGGTGATTTTTACTCCCTCCACATGTAGGGAAAACAGAATTGCTTTCTCAATAACCATTTTGAAAAGGAAGTGTTTCATTGCTCCAGGAGTGTGTATACATTAACCCCTTCCACCCAGGGCGAAATGTTTACCAAGTTTCCTTATAAAAGAAGGAAGTGTGGGCCCACCCACCACAGGCAGGGCTTGGTGGGGAAAGCAGCAAGGTAGGGGCAGGCCCTGAGCTCACAAAGTGGCTGGCAGGCCCCCAGCCTGGCTGTGAAGAGAATGCACCTCCCAACGTGGGTTGGGTTAGGATGGAGTGGTTTGGGGGATCTGACCACTCCAAGCCTATGGCAAGACTCTGAGGGTTCTGGAATGACAGGCCGACTCTGGCTGCAAATAACCAATTCTGAAAAACAACTAGTCAGAAAACTGACTCCTAGAACTGTCTGGGGACATGGAGGCCCATGCAATCATCTTAGACAAGCTGGAGAAAGAAGATCCAGCTCTGTGGCCTCAACAAGCCCCAGAACCTCCCTAGGCCTGAAAATGAGGTGAACAATCTGGAAAAAGAATGTTCCAGTCTATAAAATGGGCTCACAGATCTTCACCTACCCGCTTGGCAGGCATTTAAGTTGAGGGTCTATGAAAGAATTGTTGTGAAGATCTTTGAAAACTGAAGTATCAGGCACAGGTGAGGTGGATCACTGTTGTTATCGTCAGGTGGTTACTGTTGCTATTGCTGTTATTATCATTATCAAAGTCATGATCACTACTCCCACAGACATGGAAACTGAGACCCAGTGGAAAAATGACTTGCTCAGCAGGGCAGAGCCAGGACTCAAATCAAGTGCCCCCAGGGCCAAGGCCAGTAAATATCCTTTCTTCCCCACCAGGCTGCTCAGTGAAGCTGACAGCAAGACCTCCCACCTTGGCCACAGAGACTCAGCCTCCAACAGGTCCATTTGTCACAGATGGAAGAAGCAGCCAGTTTCAGTGGGCAGCAACACCAGGCCCCGTTCCTGGTGCTATCGCCATGACGCTCTGGGGCTCACAAGGCAAGGCCCACAGAACACTCACCTCACAGAGAGGGAGCCTGTGGGGCTCAAGGAACCTGTACCCTTGGCTTGCATCCCTTCCCAGCCCATGGCTCCTTGCTGTCATTTGTCCAAAGTGATTGCGAATCGGGCGCAAGGGTATGTCATTCATAGTCCAGTGCCCGTGTGTGTGTACAGCAGCCCCACGGCCTCACCTTCCATCTCTCCTCATTATGGCACATTACAGGGAGGTGAAGGAGATTAACCAGAAAACACTGAGTCAGTCATTATCCCGCCACAGGGTTCACCTGCAGGCCCCGCCTCAGAGCCCACACAGTCAGAGACAGGCCTGCAGATGTGTCTGAGTCATCCTGAAGGACACTGTGCAGTGAGGCTCTAGGAAACGGAGTCCTCACATAGTCTAATTCGGGTCCTCCCCCGCTCAGGCCCCTATCTCTACATGGACCTGTCCTTCAAGACCTCCATCCAATGTGGCCTTCGTAACACCCTCCTTCATGTTCCCAGTGGAGGCAGGTTCTCCCTCTCTGATCAGACACTTCACTCAGGACCCTCAGAACCTTCTCCCTTGTCTTTCAGGTTCTGAATGCACATCTTACAGTCCCTGTGAGACTGTGGGCAGAGCTGCTGTCTGATTCAGCCCTGGGTGCCTTGCCCCGTGCCAGGCTCATGGCCAACATGCAAAAAAATATGTTGAATAATGAGCTTATGAGCATCTGAGCAACTGACTGATGGATGGCTTCTGGACTCCTCCCAATTATGATGCCCTATAGTCTCTGCCCAAGGCCGCTGGGTGGTGCAAACTGTCAACACACTCAGCTGCTAACTGAAAAATTAGAGGTTTGAGTCCATCCACAGATGCCTTGGAAAAAAGGCCTGGTGATCTACTTCTGAAAAATCAGCCACTGAAAACCCTATGGAACACAGTTGTACGCTGACACAAATAGGGTATCCTCACTTTGACAGTATCGATTTGACAGCAGTTGGTACTGGTATTGGTACTGGTATAGTCTCTGGTATAGTTTTTCTGAATTTCTAAGCCCCATAAACTATGATTCAGATTCTGAGTTCCTGTGAGCAATATTATGTGAAATGCAGAGGGAGTCTCTAACACTGAATGTCAGCATTAAGTAAATAAAGGCTTAATAGAAATGCTGGAGGCTTCGCAAGGTGGAGGCCTGGCAGAATGCAGAGGTCAAGGCCCTTGCTCTTCACCAATTACTTGCTGGGTGACCTCAGACAAGTCCTGTCCCCTCTCTGGGCCTCTAAAAAATGAGGGGGCTGAAAGATTTTCTCTGTAGTCCTTGGTTTTATGATCTTGTCAACAGTTAAAAGATAAATTTTCTCCCAGAATCTGGGAGACAGGCCTCACCCAAGGAAGTTTTCCTGACTGAGTCTCCTCTCTTCCTCCTCCTGTGTCAAGCTGAAATGTGGCTTCAGCCATCTTTCTGAAGGGCTCTGAGCAGTGGAGGAAGGGAGAGGGTGTTTATGATGGAAACACAGTCTTCTCCCCAAAGCCCAGGATCTAGAGCGTGTGGGGTCAACTCCGACCAGCACATATGGCCATGGTATACCTGCAGAGGCTCCATTCGGCTTTTAAGAGAAAGACCGTAATCCTCTCGCCATAGTCTACAAGACCTGATCCATCCCCTGGCATCACTTCCCACCTCCCCCCGCCTCC